TGGGGGGTGGGTACTGGGGATTGGACTCAGTGGCAACTTGACCACTGAACCACATCCTCAGCCCTATTTTGTATTGTATTTAGAGATAAGGTCTCACTGAGTTGCTGAGCGCCTCGCTTTTTTTGAGTTCCCAATCCTCCTGCCTCAGCCTCCTGAGCCACTGGGATTATAGGCATGTGTCACCGTGTCTGGCTCAATTTAAGGCTCTTAGTAGGTAAATTGAGGAAACTGAATGACCTGGTACTCCAAGCCTTAAGATCAGAAAATCATCTAAGTAGCTTTTCTTTTCTTTTTTTTTTAAAGAGAGAGAGAGAGAATTTTTTAATATTTAGTTTTTAGTTATCGGCGGACACAACATCTTTGTTTGTATGTGGTGCTGAGGATCGAACCCGGGCCGTATGCATGCCAGGCGAGCGTGCTACCGCTTGAGCATGCACATCCCCAGCCCTAAGTAGCTTTTCTAATAATCTCAAAAGAATTACTAAAGTTAAGTAGAAAAGATTTCTCTCTGCATCAACTCTTAGGGGAGAGCAGTTGCTACTAATTAATAACTGATTTCCTTAGGAGCTGGGATTTGGGAATTTTACTTTTGAAGAGAATTACAGATTTTCAAGCCTTTTTGTTAATCGTTCTATTTCACATCTTTCCATTATGAATCGAAATTTGAACTTGAGCTAGAAGGAGTTGAGGGAAGAAAAGACTCAAATTTTTTTCCTGTGCTGGGGATTAAACCCAGGGCCTCATGCATTCTAGGCAAGCTCTCTTTTGCCATGCCACAACTCTAGCCTTTTTAATTTTGTTTTTAAGTAGAATATATAGCTCTGAAGGATACCGACCTACACTTTCTACGTTTCCAACAGCTGACAGTAAATTTTGGGGACCATATTTATAAGTTTGCGTTCTTAGTTGACAGTAAAGTTGACAGTTGACAGTTCTTAGCTGACAGTAAATTTTGGGGACCATATTTATAAGTTCAGTGGCTGGCTGTATTGAAAATGTTACTTCCTTTAACATTTGTATCGATACATGATGTCTTCTCACCTTGAATAGTCTATGGGGCTTGGAGTTTAAGTTAGTTGTAGAGTGCATGCCTAGCATGTGTGAAGCCCTGGGCTCAGTAAATCCCCAGCGCCCAAAACAAAATAAACACCTGTTTTGGACACTTGAGAAAAAAATTTTTAAAAAAACTTTAGTATTATTTTTACCTTATAGTATGGCTGTAATTTCTGATCTCTTAATGTAAAAACCACAGATTAAATCCTATTAAGAGAATTTTTTTATATGCTAGGCAATTGCTCTACCTCTAAGCTACACTGCAAGTCCTGATCTGAGGGATTTTTGAAAAATTCTGAGTTGTGATTTTTTTTTTTTAATTTTTTAGTTGTAGACAGACACAGTACCTTCATTTTATTTGTTTTTATGTGGTGCTGGGGATTGAACCCAGTGCCTCACAGATGGAAGGCAAATGCTCACCAACTGAGCTACAACTCCAGCCCGAGTTATGATTTTTAAAGAAACCTTACTTGACTCTGAGGACTTTTTGAGCTTAGAGTTTTCCCCTCGAACTTAGTTTTTCACTGGCAGAGAACATGCTAGTGTGTTCCAAATGTGCTTGAGTTACTCTATCTAAAGGTGGCGTTGGCATTTCACAATCTCCCTGTTGCAGTTTGTCTGCGCAACTAGAAAAGCTTTACATAAGCTCAGTGGCTGCCCTGTGCCCTGGAGCCAGACCTCCTTTGCAGCAAAGAAGACCTAACGGTATAGTGCACTGGTGAGGTCACTTGAGTTTTAAATAGAGCCTGGCTCTTGAAATAAGGACAGCATGATTTAGGGGAAAGGCCAGAACTTGATCTCCATGGCCTCAGGCACTGGAGCTTCTCCTGGCACCAGAGACCATTATTAGGTCGCATCATAGTGGCTAGGTTTCAGCGCCCATGTTGGCAGTAGGAGAGGTGAGAGCACGGTGGACTGAGGGCTCACCCACAGACCTGCCAGAGCCTCTGCCTGTCTCATAGCCAGTCTGGGGAGTTCTTTGCAGGCCAGTGCTCAGGTTCATGGAAGGGAAGTGGTATAAAGAGCAAAGGAAGTGTCAGGCTAGGGAAGAGGATGTGATAGAGAAGAAATACTTGATATGGGAAGATAAGAAAGAAATGTATGTGTGTTAATAGTGAGAAATACACGAGGAAAAAGTCTTCAGGGCATCCTCAAGTATACCTGCTCACATCTCCCAGCGCATGCACTTGTATCCCAGCTCTTCAGCCTTTTGTCATAACAGATCCCTGTTTGTTTTTTATATTGTTGTTTTGGTTACTGGGGATTGAATTCAGGGCCACCGAGTTGCTTAGCACCTTGCCAGAGCCGAGGCTAGTTTTAAACTCACGATCCTCCTGTCTCAGCCTCTCGGAAATGCTGGGATTACAAGTGTGTGCCACCGCACCCGGCACAAATCCCTGTTTTTGGGTAAGGGAACTATGACCATGAGAAGTGGAATGTTTTGCCCCTTGAGTGACAGGCAAGGAATTTTCTTGGCATTTGTGTGGTGGTAGCCATCAGAACTCAGTGTGTGAGCGTTGCCCGAGGAGTGAGCAGCCATGACTATGTGAAGATGATCAGCATCCCTGTTCATCCAGGAAAAGGGATGTTTGCACAGGGCAGGGTGTTGGGGGTGAGGAGACAGGGGTCCTGGAGTGAAAAACATCTCTTCCCTCACTTGTGCTCTGAATTCTTCTAGCAGCACCTTCACACTCATCTGCTGTAGGTATTATAATAGAGAGTCAGTAATGTATCATGAAGAAAACTACTTAAAAAAATACTAATCAGTTCAAGAAATATTTGCATTGCATAACATTTTCTGAATATCTCAAAAATTAGTAAACTACACGTGATGAATTCAAAGACTGAATTGCTTGTAGCACCCTAATAAGTATGATCTGGTTTTTATGTTCTGATTTAATTATCTCTGCATTGGAATTGGTGGCGACAAGCTGGGTGTGGTGGTGCATACTAGTAATCCCTGTGACTCCTGCTGTGGACTTACTACAAAGAAGTTTAAACACAGGCTACAGTTAACAAGTTCAAGGCCAGCCTTGGCAACTTAGTGAGACCCTCTCAAGATAATAAAAAAATGAAAAGGGGCTGGGGATGTAGCTCAGTGGTAAAGTGCCCCTAGGTTTAATTCCCAATATAAAAAGAAGAAAGAAAAACTTGGGACTGACTATAATCATTTTTCCTAAGCATCCCCTATTCCTTTTTAAAAGGCTATAGAAAAGGGGCTGGGGTTGTGGCTCAGTGGTAGAGAGCTTGCCTAGCTAGCATGTGTGAGGCACTGGGATCGATTTTCAGCATCACATATAGATAAATAAAGGTCCATCAACAACTAATAAAATATTAAAAAATAAAAATAAAAGGCTGTAGAAAGAAGGTAAATGACTTGGATGTGGAAAAAAATCTTTGGCATAGCATCCCCCCACAAACACTTTAGTATATATATTATGTAATGCAATTTTACATAGAAGCTATGATCAACACCAGGAACATAACAAGTGGCTAGTTTACCTGGGGGTGAAGAAGAGAGTAGGGAAAAACTGGTTTCATAGGGAATGTATTACCTTGTTTGGGGGGCTTTGGGGGGTAGTGGGGAATTAACCCAGGGGAGCTTTACCACTGAGCACATCCCCAGCCCTTTTTATTTTGAGACAGGTCTCTGCTAAGCTGCTGAGGCTGGCCTTTAACTTGTGATCTGCCTGTCTCAGCCTCCTGTGTGGCTGGATTATAGGCATGTACCACTGCCCCTGGCCTTATCTTGGTTTTTAATACTTTTAGTATATGCCAGGTAGGAGTACTGGAAGGTGTTCTAGGTGGGGCAGAAGAACAAGCAGCCAGTAAACACAGGCTGGATGAATAATGTGGCCTCAGAATCTGGAAGATAGTAAGAGTGCTGTTAGAAACCTAATGGCTGTGATATCACACAACCAGGTGAAATAAAAAAAGGGAGTGTTAGTGACTTAATGTCTTGACAGTCTTAGGATGGTGAAGACAGAAACCTTTGAAGTTCCTATGTTTATTAAAACATCATCTCTGTTGACTACCTCCAGAAGTACTTGCTCATTTTTCTTGTCCTGTATGTTACTGATCCTATGGACGCTGTCTGTCACAAGTACACATTTCTCCACTTTTTTTTTTTTTTTTTTTTAGCAGAAATTGAACCCAGGGGTGCTTAACCACTGAGCCACATCCCCCCCTTTTTTTTTTAATATTTATTTTTTGTGGTGCTGAGGATCGAACCCAGGTCCCGTCCATGCTAGGCGAGCCCTCTACTGCTGAGCCACAATCCCAGCCCCCATCCCCAGCCCTTTTTATTTTTTGAGATAATGTCTTGCTAAGTTGTTGAGTCTGGCTTTAAGCTTGTGATCCTCTAGCCTCTATCTCCCAAGTTACTGGGATTACTGGTGTGCGCCACCACGCCTGGTAATTCATCTTCTCTTGGCACACCAGCAGAAAAGCCTTCTTGTTTCTCAAAAGTCAACTCAAACTTGACTCAGGTATATTCTCACCCCAAAGGGGTAGGCCTAGGAGTCAGTGGATAGCGCAAATGAAGTTGTCAGTCAGAGAAGCTGAGGAATGTAAGTCATCTATTAGAATCTCTAGGATCATATGTATGTGATGTTACATGAGAAAATTGTATAGGCCTTTTGCAATTAAAATAACAACTTGAGTTGTCATCTAAGAGCTAGACTTGACAGTTCTTCCATAGAACCACATGTGCTGGGCCTGGGTCCTTCTCTGAGGAGGAAGCCAGGGTTTGATTACCTTGATCCAGCTGCATTTTTCCCTTGTTGGTTGCCTGTTCCCCCTCCACTCCCTTCCCTATTCCCACACAGTGTTCTTCTTTTTCTGTTAATCATTTTGATTTACTGTTGTGTTTTAGTCGTATGAAGATGTGACTAACCCAGTTGATATCATCTGTACAGTAACAGCTCTTTATTGTTTTCTTCTCACAGGTGACAGAGCTGAATGAGCCACTGTCCAATGAAGAACGGAACCTGCTCTCTGTGGCTTACAAGAATGTCGTTGGAGCTCGCCGTTCCTCATGGAGGGTCATCAGTAGCATTGAGCAGAAGACATCTGCAGATGGCAACGAGAAGAAGATAGAGATGGTTCGTGCTTACCGGGAGAAAATCGAGAAGGAGCTGGAGGCGGTGTGTCAAGATGTGCTGAGCCTGCTGGACAACTACCTGATCAAGAATTGCAGCGAGACCCAGTACGAGAGCAAGGTGTTCTACCTGAAGATGAAAGGGGACTATTACCGCTACCTGGCTGAAGTAGCCACTGGAGAGAAGCGGGCCACCGTGGTGGAGTCCTCTGAGAAGGCCTACAGCGAAGCCCATGAGATCAGCAAGGAGCACATGCAGCCCACCCACCCCATCCGGTTGGGCCTGGCGCTTAACTACTCCGTGTTCTACTACGAGATCCAGAACGCCCCAGAGCAAGCCTGCCACTTGGCCAAGACCGCCTTTGACGATGCCATTGCTGAGCTCGACACTCTGAACGAGGACTCCTACAAGGACTCCACTCTCATCATGCAGCTCCTCCGTGACAACCTAACGCTCTGGACAAGCGATCAGCAAGACGACGAGGGCGGAGAAGGCAACAATTAAGGCCCCAGGTGGACTGGCAGCGCACGCTGATGCTACTACTGCAGTCTTTATTTTTTTCCCATGAGTTGGGGGTCGGGTGGGGGAGGGAAAGGGAGGGCTGACCTTCCCAGGGAGAAACCCACGACCTGTCCTGTCTTTGATCGCCTCTTTGACGTTTTTGCCAAAATACCACTAGTGGAAAGTCAGGCTAGCTGTGCTGGTATTGGAGTAGCAGTCTCACGGCATATGGACTGTGGTGTAGGTTCATGCAAGTGGAGCTGTCTGTCTTTAATTTAACTTATTGCTAGGTGATAGGTTTTGAGATGAAAAGAAAATGTAAATGGAATGGCCCTCATTCAGTAAGTTCTGTGGTTCCAGTAACGATTTTATGTACATACGCTCTTGTCTTAAGTTTTGGGTACTTTCTCGCTCCTCTGTTTTAGCTGTGCATTTCTTTTGGGGTGTCCTCTACCAGACATGGCATAGTTTAAATCCCAAGCAAACAGACTTGGAGCATGAGGTTTGCTCATCCTACAGTTTAGGCCTGCCCGTTTTCCTCAAGTCTGATTAGTTGACAGTATTAACACTAAATTGCAGTTTACAGTATTTCTACATTACAGCCATATGTGACATCAAGCCATCAATTGTGAATTTTTCTTTGCTGTTTTTTTTGGCTTTACATTCTTCTTTAGCCGTATCTAGGTTGGTTTTGCTGTTCTCTGCCTCCTTGGCTAACAAACGTGCCCTGAGGAGAGTCAAAGCTACTTTAGGTTCGGTTAATAGGTGCTTGGCAGGTGGCTGTGGGATTTCATCCTCCTTTCCTCTTAACAAATCAACAACAGAAGTTATTAATCACTTTAACAGAAACGTTAAGCACCGCAAAAATGGAGGCACTTCAGGTCTGTCTGTCATGTATGGTGTTAGATTCTCCATGACCCCTGCTCCCAGCTGCCTCAGCTCCTTCCTCAGGGATTGCACTGCCATTTGCTCCCCTCTGCACGTGAACTTTCCCCGCTGTACCGGTGCCCACGGCACACGAGTGGCTTGGAGGTTGGATCGTAGAGGCTGGTGGCCTTCAAGAAGGTGTGTGGTGCAGTGTGGAGAGTCAGGTGCTAGAAGCTGAACCTGTAGAGACCCGGCAGGAGGCGCTGCGCCTGCCCAGCCTTCCTCCAGCTCTCCTTCCTGAGGGCAGGCCTGCTGCGGTGGTGAGTGAAGTCACCATGGGGAGTAAGCGCTGAATCCTGTTTGACCAAAATTTTTCCCCTTTTTCTATTCAAGGAAAGCATGGAAGTTGGAGGTTGACCTCTCTGAGTTAGCGCACATTTTGCAATTGAAGGAAACCACAGAGCTGTTTCCACACAGCTGTTCTCAGTTAGCCCTGGGGCCCTCCTTCCCACTGCAGCTTGGTCTCTGTAAACATGACCCATTGCATGTCGCCTGTCCAGTTTTTCTTAGCTTTTTTTTTTTTAAACAAAATCAGTAACCATGTGGACTCCTAGGATGGGTAATGACACCAGAGTTACTTTGTTACTTTATTTTATTTAGGCAAGGAGAGATATGAGTAATGACTGAGGAAAACCTGACATGCTTTTGCTAGACCAAAATCAAGCTTACAATTATGAAATGAGTATGTTTAACAGGACACAGTGACAGTGACAATAGAAGCGTGGTGATGACCGTAGAGTCAGTGTGCTCCGTAGTATTGCAGTTTCCCAGCATGATTTTCCTTCGAGGGCCCCTCCTCACCCTGATGGAAGTCCTGACTCACTGAATTCTTCCAAGGAGTTCTAACTCAACAGAGCTTTGTCGCTTTAGTGCCATTACAGGAGCCTGGAGTCATCGCTGTGGATGGAAAACATTTGGGGGAAGGGGCGGGTGGGTCTTTCCCTAATTTTATCTTCATGTCCAGTGAGCAGTGTCATGTCCGTCCTTATCGCATTTGGAAATGATTGACTGGAATTACAAAACCTATTTTTCCTTTAAATTTCAGCTTTGGCTCTGGCTGCGTTTTAGAATAATGCAAGATAAAATCCCTGCAGACAGACAGAGGGCTGGAACTGAAGAGGGACAGGAGACTTGGTGTTACGCAGCTTGAATGGTTTCTTTTCTTTTCTTTATTTTTAAAGAAATGCACTTGCCTATGATACTGTCTCTCCAGTGAAATGATTACTCCTCCATTACTCTATTGATACAATATTGTGCATGCTCGTGTTGTATTTCTATACAGTAGCTTGAAATTTATTAACTTATACTGTAGGTGTTATGTATTCCTATGACAAAAAAAAATTAAGTCTTCAAATTTTTTAAAGTTTTTTTAATTTAATTTTTCCTTTTGGGGGTACAAGTTTGCTCTACCAAATAGTGATCGTAACAAATTGATCTGTTTTGGATGTTGCTATAGTGACATGCAGTTATATATTTTGTTTTTAAGGGGGGGGGGGCAAAAGAAACACCAGTGTTAGCTTAATCTTAATGTCTGGTGTTTGTCATGGTGAAATTATAACTATTACAGTGTAGGAGAGCACTGACTATGTTCTCCGAATGAGCCTTTGTGCTTTTTGTCATGTTATGCAGTGAACTATTTTTAAGGTCTAATCAGTGATTATTTTTCCAACTCCGTGTTTCTCTAAGGAATTATTTCGCACACGGACCATTCTTAGCAGTTTTCCTCAGTGATGGAATATCATGAATGTGAGTCATTATGTAGCTGTCGTACATTGAGCAAATAAACTTACAGATCTGATGTCCGTGCCATTTAGTTTCATTTAATGTTTTAACTTTTCCTTTGCTTTTGGGGGTATGATTGGAGGTGTGTGAGTTTGGATGGGTTGATGGGGTGTGGGGCGAGACAGCTTCCAGTACAAAGGGCCTGTGTCTGGGAGTCAGACCTGGGCTTAGTGACCTTAAGAAAATCAAGGGTTGATTGAGGGTATGGCTCAGCGGTAGAGCACTTGTCCCTTGCCTAGATGTGCACAAGTCCTGGATTTGATCCCCAGCACTTGAACAAAAAAAGGAAATGGAAATTAGAACACTGTCTGGGCCTCCTAAGTCTGCTTTTTTTTTTTTTTTTGTACCGTGGTTGAACTCGGGCACAAGGCCACTGAGCCACATCCCCAGCCCTGTTTTCTATTTTATTTATAGACAGGGTCTCACTGAGTTGCTTAGTTCCTCACTTTTTGCTGAGGCTGGCTTTGAACTCACGATCCTCCTATCTCAGCCTCTCAAGCTGCTGGGATTACAGGTGTGCACCACCACACCCAGCCCAAATCTCTTGCAAAGTACTGTGTTTGGCTGGGTCCCAAAGGGCCCTTTGGGGATACAACTGGTGAGAAGCACAGGCCCGAGTTTGAATCCTGCTCCTGAGCCCAATAGCCAGGTGCTGCTGGAGGCAGCCGTGTCAGGAGGTACCTGCGAGTGGGAGTATTGTCCATGAGATAAAGCCTTTGCACCTTTCAGGGGGTACGAGTTTCAGCAGAAGGGAAGGGTGGCCTTTACAGTGGAGGGAGACAAGTTTTTTTTTATTTTCTGAGAAACTTTAACTCGCATTTGGTGTGATAAGACCGTGTCAGAGGCCTTTCACTGTACATTGAATGAATTGTCCCTGGGACCACCTGAGTGCCACTGCAAGTATGACTTGGAACTGGCAGTGACTGGGCCTGAGGTCCTACCACACACTGATGCCTGGATTTTGGGCCCTCCCAAGTTTGGTGAGCTAAGCCCGAGCTGCTTCTGGCAGTGCAGGCATGGCCCCTCGGGATGTGCTGAGCAGGATCAGTGTAGGAGCCACTGAGCGTAGAAAGAGAAAGTACAGGCGTGGGCAGGTTTTGAGAGGGTCCCTGAGGCTCTTTGGAAACAAGGGAAAAGGACTTGGAAGTTTCTATCACACCCTGTTCCTTTGTGACACCTGCCTCTTAGGGTTATCATGACTGGAATTTACCCAGAGTATTCCATGAACACTTGGAAATTGTTTTTTGAGGAGGGGGACACTTTGTTGCCCATGCTGGCCTCCTGCTAAGTCAGTGAGACTGCAGGCAGACACTACCATGTCTGGCTGGCCAGTTTTAAGATTTCTTTGATGCAACAGTCCTCAGACTTTCTCAACTCAGAACCCTTTTACATAACTCTGAAGAGCTTTTGTTTGGGGTTGAATCAAAAACTACAAGTTAAAAATATTCATTTGTCTAAAAACAATCACCATTTGTTTCTTGAAAAATAGTTGTTTTCCAAAACAAAAACAAAAAAAAAAAAATAGAGGCGTAGCGTTGTTTCACAGTTTTATAGGTCAACTGGACTCTGATATCTGATGCTACGTGCAGTGTGTTGTGATACGTTGAAGTATTGGGGGGTGGGTAGTTGGAAAGGATGGCCCTGAAGAGCTGGGTTGAATGGTGGTGTAGAAGAAGGCTAGTAGCTTCTCATGGTTCAGGTGGCACTCATCTGTAATCCAAGCTGCTTAGGAGGCTAAGGCAGGAGGATCGGAGGTTCAAGACCAGTGTGGGCAACTTAGTGAAATCTGTCTCAAAATTCACTAAGGGCAGGGGATGTAGCACAGTGGTAACAGTGCCCCTGGGTTCAGTCCCCAGAACTGCAGAACAACAAACTCATTCTTCAAGCTCTGTGTCCTCGTGCTGAGTGTGTTATAGAATTTTGAAAATAGCCAGTAGGATAAAGCAGTGAGGTAAGGTGACAGGGACAGGAGTGGGTATTAGGGAGTCCCTCAGCCCCCTTGCTTGGGGCATCCTTGGAGCAGAGTTCATCCTGACAACTTTGGGGGTGGAGTAGAGGTCATAAATAAGGAGGTTCAGTGGCAGGAACCTTCCAGCACAGCAGGCATGCTGCAGAGGGCGGGTGCAGTTTCTCTCCAGTCTATTTATGAGCGATGACCACACACACTGGCCTCTGCACGGGTCAACTGAGACTGCACATTGACTCACTCTGGATGATCCGAGTGGCTAAGAATGGCAACTTGGTTTTCAGAGCAAGTTTGGAGAAATAGCTTCTGAAAACTAGCTGTTCTCTATTTCTGGGAGTTGACATTAAGTGGTCACCAACCTGATCAGAGCATTAAAATGTGATATACCTGGCGCTGGAGTTGTAGCTCAGTGGTAGAGAGCTCGCCTCGCATGTTCGAGGCTCTGGGTTTGATCCTCAATACCACATAAAAATAAATAAAATAAAGGTATTGTGTCAAAGTACAACTAAAAAATATTTAAGAAAAAATGTGATATACCAGCCTTGTCCAATGAGCCTGCTGGTATGAATTCACCAAGTCTGGAGTGATGAGACAGGACGGGTTAGATGCAAACCACACCAGCCCTACCTCTAAGGAATTGTGAGTACCTGTGGTCTGGGAGGAGTCTGCAGGAGGAGCGGGCTCTCACAGGCCTCACAAGTGAACAGATTGCCCAGGTTATTTGAGACAGGGTCTTGCTAAGTGGCTGAGACTGATTTCAATTTTTAAAAATTTTCTTATTTACTATATGTATTTTTATTTTTTTACCTTGAACTTTGGATCCTCCTACAAGAAACACAGGTGGTTCACAAACCTTAAAATATTTACTACCTGGCTAATCCTGTGCTGACCCCTGGTTTCCCATTAACTGTCCCACCATGCCTGTGCACATGCCACCCATTCATTGCCCCTTTGTAGTATAACCCTGCTGTCCCCCTCCTGATATGGCTCAGCCTGAGATAGGATTTTTGCTTCTTTTGAGCGCTACTATGGACCAGAAATGTTTGCACAGTGATTTTAAATAAGGATAAATGGGATTTGGTGGCCTCTTGAATTAGAGGATTTAGCCCCATTGGAAGGGGGCAGACTTCTCTTTGTGTTGTGGAACTTGGAAGTCGCCACATGCCATTTACTCCGTGTTCACATTTCTCCTAAAAATAAGGATGGTTTTCTTACGTAACCACCATTACACCAAACAGCAATTCCCTAGTGTATCAGCCCATGTTCAGATTTCCCCACATTGTCCTCAGGATGCATTTGATGGCTCATTCTTCTTTCTTTTTTTATTTTTAACATTTATTTAGTTGTCAGTGGACCTTTATTTACACGAATGCAGTGTTGAGAATCGAACCCAGGGCCTCACACATGCTAGGCGAGCACTCTACCACTAAGCCACAACCCCAGCCCTTGATGACTCATTCTAACACCACTCCCATGCCAAGGAGGATCAATTCAAAATTCATTTGACCTCTTTTATGACATTGACTCTGGGTTGCAAGAGAACAGGCTACTTGATAGTCTCATAGAATGTCCCACACTCTGGGCTTGTCTGTAAGTTTCCTCCTGCCATTCAGTTTGTTTCCTACCCAGTTGGGAAACTTGTCTTGCCAAAGGATTTTTGTTTCTTTTTTTTTTCTTTCTTGTGGCACTAGGAGGGCTCTGCCACTGAGCCATGCCCGCAGCCCTTTCCCTTGCCGGAGGATGTGGCTCTGTCTTCCAGTCTTCTCCCTGGTTCCTTTGCTGGTCAGCAGCAACCAACACCAAGGCCAACCTAAGCCACATTGTGAAAGCAGCTCTGAATCATGGGCCAGGAGGACTGAGCCACCCTTGAGAACCATCATGTTTCCTGACTGGTCTGCTAGGCTGGGCTTTGCCTCCTCCCAGTACCTTCCCCCAACCCCCATGGGAAAAGGGAGGTGCTCTATGAGCACTTGCTTTGACTCAGCAAACTGTCCCACATGCTTGGCCTGGTGAGGCCTGGCAATCTACAGCTGTTGTGTCCTGAGCAGGGTGTCGGGTAGGGTGGAGAAACGGTGCCACTCACCATATGTGCCATAGTTATATCAGCAACAGCTGAGTGGATGCCGGCCACCTTCATTCTGGGTCTGGTTAGGGAAGCCTCAGCCATGTGCTAAACTGGTTCTCCCAGGTGGGCACAATGGCGCATGCCTGTAATCTCTGGAGGCTGAGGCAGGAGGATCGCAATTTGAAAGCCACCCTCAGCAACTTAGTAAGACCCTAAACAATTCAGCAAGACAGTCTTAAATTAAAAAAAGAATGAAAGAAAAAAAGGCTGGGGATGTGTGGCTCAGTGCCCCAGGTTCAGTCATCCCCCCGTACAAAACAACAATAACAACCACCAAAAAACCCTGGTTCTTCCAATGACGGACAAATTCTCTTACCTACTACTTTGGCTCTTAGACATCCAAATGCCACTTTTTATTCTAATCTGAAGCAGTATTTTAGGGCTGGGGTCTTAGTGGTTATTTTTGTTTAGTGACACGGGTTGGAACCACAAATGTAGTCAAGCACTATACCACTGAGCTACAATTGCAGCCTCTCGTCATTTATGTAGTACTGGGGACTGAATTTGGCATTGCACATGGTAGGCAACCCCTTATCACTGAGCTACATTCCCACCTTTTGTTTATGTTTTTTTGGTACCAGGGATTGAACCCACGGGCACTTAAACCACAGGAGCCACACCCCCCTCCCCCCCCCCCCCTTTTTTTGAGACAGGGTCTCATTCAGTTGCTGAGGCTGGCTTTGTAATCCTCCTGCCTCAGTTTCCCAAGGCGCTGGGATTACAGGTGAGCGCCATTGCGCTGACCAGCCCGTTTTTCTAGACAGGGTCTCACCAAGTTGATCAGGCTGGCCACTCCTGCCTCAGCCTCCTGAGGCGCTGGGATCCTGTGGCCCACCACATCTGGGTGGTTGTCAGTCTAAAGCCAGATGGGAAAGGTCATATTGGATTGTTAGGGAGCCAAAAGTGACTTCCAAAAAACTGGTGG